TACACTAATGCAGAAGTTAATAATAGGAAGAACTTTTGTGGGGGGGGGTGGTAGAGGGAACTCTGTATTTTCTGTTCAATTCTTCTGTAAACCTAAACTGTTCTTAAAAAAAAATCAGGGGTACCTGGGTGGCTCAGTGGGTTAAGCCTCTGCCTTTGGCTCAGGTCATGATCCCAGGGTCCTAGGATGGAGCCGTGCATCAGGCTCTCTGCTCAGCAGGGAGCCTGCTTCCCCCCCACCCCTCCGCCTACCTCTCTGCCTACTTGTGATCTCTGTCAAATAAATAAATAAAATCTTAAAAAAAAAAAAAAAGAAAAAGAAAATAGATGCAGGAAAATTTTAAAAATAAATAAATAAATAAATATCAATTAATTTAAACAACAACAACAAAATAGCAGATGAACAAAACCCAGCCAGATCACAAAGCCCACATGGTGTCACTGTCTGATGGACCCAAACACAGGAGAAGTCCATGAGCAGGAACAATTACTCACTAGAAATATGGGGCTGGGGTTGGGGGGAGGGGAGACAGTGAGACAAGAGCAGCTGAGCCTGGAGGTGTTCATCCACTCCAACCGTGGGCGAAGCCTGGAGCCTTGTGGAGTCTCAGAACCATCCACCCAAAGACACCAGAGATGAGGGAAGAAAAGGGTCAGACACAAGTGGGGGAGGGAAACAGGGCCAGAAGATCTTAACTATCTCAGAAACTAGGTCTCCTACTTTTTTAATAAGAAACAGCAGGAATGAGAATTCTGAAATTAATTAAAAGTCACCCTGACCCACATCTCCTTCTAAAATTTAAGGAAAATATATTTTATCTAAAAAGAGCCATAATAGGATGCCTAGGTGGCTCAGTCGGTTGAGCCACTGCCTTTGGCTCAGGTCATGATCCCAGAGTCCTGGGATCAAGTGCCACATGGGGCTCCTTACTTGGTGGGAGCCTGCTTCTCCCCCTGCTTGTGCACACTCTCTCTGACAAATAGATAAATAAAATCTTTAAAAAGAGCCATAGTGAAGTATCAAAGTCAAATCCCTATTAAATCATACCAAAAAAGAGAATAAGGAGAGTAACGATCCCTACAGAAAATAAGAGCCACTAGAAAAGATGTAACCACAAGACAGACCAAATGTACCCTTCCATTTCAAAACAAGCTACCTTTCTTCTCGTTAATTAAGAAAATAATGGGACACACGGCCGGCTCAGTCAGTGGAGCATAGGACTCTTGACCTCAGGGTTGTGGTTCAAGCCTCATGTTGGGTGTAGAGATTACTTAAAATCTTAAAAAATAATATGTAAGATACATATATGATAAATGGTACGTACAAAACAACAATACAAATTTTAAAAAACTCTTGAAACGAGGTGACAGAACGAGGGACAAAGAACGGTGCAAATGAGCAGAACAGATCTGCCTCAGGGAAAAGAGAGGGCAGAGAGGAGAGCAATCTTGGACTCAAGAAGAAAGGAAGTAGTATCAAAAAGGATTCAAAAGAAAGTGACACTCTTAACTTAGCAATTTTATCTGCATTTCAGAAATCTCCTCAAAGGAATAATCATGGATGTTGTGAAAAGATGTGTGTGCTATCACTGCAGTGTTTTTAGTGGTTCCCATCCCCAGATGAAAATAACTTTCTGAAACTATAACTACAAAACCCTTTAACTGTTGAAGTATTTATCTATTTTCCCAATTTGACCTTGGTTTTCTAAATAAACTGGGGTCTTAAAATAAGGCACCTTATAAGGATCCACGGCCTACTGTCAGATCAATGGTGGTTCATTAAAAGCATCATTATGTTCTGCTGCTTAAGAACAAAGCATGTTCAGGGCACCTACGTGCTCAGTCAGTTGAGCGTCTGACTCTTGGTTTTGGCTCAGGTCATGATCTCAGGGTTCTGGGACTGATCCCTGTGTCAGGCTCCACACTCACTGGGGGGGGATCATTTGAGGATTCTCTCTCCCTCTCCCTCTCTCTGCCTCACCACCCCATGCTCACATGCTCACACCCTTGCTCTATCAGATAAACAGAGCAATCTAAAAGAAAAAGAATGAAATACATTCATTAAAATGACCATTTATCATTGAACAGAGAGCAGCAGAACTTACTTTGATGTATCCAAATGTTGGCAGGGTTTGGTTGGATAACTTCCTTGGCATGTCTATTTCTAGATTAACATGGTGTCTATCAGGACAGATCCTTTTGTCTCTGAAAAAAAAGTAACTGGATTTTAAAAACAAAAATAAGACGATAATTTTTAACATGAATTTTAAACTATTCTTCAGGAAAATGAATCTATAATTGAAATCAGAGGACCTTCATTCTAAATAATTTTAAGTAGCCATATTAAATAATTCAGATGACACAACATGCACATTAATGAAAAGAGGCCCTAAAATTTAATTAACACGCAATAAACTTAAAGAGTTACTCCATCATTTCTCTAGACATTCTGTAAATGAACAAAATGTACTTGAAAACAAAGACTCTGAATCAGAAATTTATCACAACAACCCAAAACAAAGGCTAATAATTAACAACTAAACCAGAAGTCATTCTGTAACCCAAACTGAGAAATAAAGCTTTGGTTTCAAAAGTCAATAGCATAACATTATATGTTAATAAAAATATTAAAAAATTTTTTAAAAAGTCAATAGCATAATCAAAATCACTAATAACCTCTTTAATGTACCATAGTTCAAAAAGTTCATGTCAATAGTTATTTTAAGATGAAACTCAATGTACTCGATACACATCAGACATCTCCTACCCAGTCCCCGTGATTGCTGATCAAGTATTGGCATCGTGTCTGCATCAGTGAGAAGGCCCCCATGACTGCTGATATCCACGCTCTCCAAACTGATTTACAGCATCAACACATGTGCTCTCAAAAGCCAGGTAATGTTTCTGAGGAAACGGACAAGCCTATTCCAAAATGCACGTGGAGATGCCGCTGACTTAAATAGCCAGAACAACCCTGATGAAGAGCGAAGTTGAAGAACTCACATACCAGCTTGTAGGACTCACTAGAATACAAGCTACAGTGAGAAAATGCAGTACCAGCATAAGGACAAAGAGACCAATAGAACACAGAGAGTCCAAAAGTGGACCACACACTATCATCTGGTTTATGTCCAAGGCACCAACTCAGGGAGAATGCAGCGACATTTTAAATAAAGGATACTGGAACAAGTGACTATCCACACAGGAGAAAGTAATCCTTGCCCTGTATCTCACACTCTACGCAAACATTAACTCACCCTAGATTACACACTTAAGTGTGAAAACAGTCTATAAAACTTCCAGAAGAAAATACAGAAGAGTGTCTTCATGACCTAGAGATCAGCAAGTATTTCTCACCTAAGGACACAAAATAACAACAACCAGAATATACTTCACCAAAATTAAAAGGTCTGTTCATCAAAAGACTCATAAGAGTGAAAAGGCAAGCTATGGACCGAGGAGAGATCTTCTCAAGGCACACCTCTGACAAAGCAGTTATATCTAGAATGAATAAAGTACACCAACCGACCAGGAAGAAAAAGGGTAACACCCGATAACTTCAAAAATGGGCAAAAGACCTGAACAAGCACTTTAAAGAGGATGGTCAAATGTCCCACAGGCATGTGAAAAAACACTCATTATTATATTAATTACTCGGGAAACACAGATGTAAACCACGGTGTGCCGCTATGCCCCCAGGGCCACTCTGTCGGGGAGGGTGTGGAGCCATGCATCTCTGTCACCCACTGCGGATGGGACTGTGAAACAGTCACACACCTCCGAAAGGTTACATGTGTGCTCACCCTGTGGCCCAGCAACCCCACACCAAAGTCTACACCCCAAGGAAACAGGTGTACGTTTCCGCAAAAAGACACAGCAGCTTCATCCATAACAGCCAAAAGCTGGAAACAATTCACAGGCCCATCAACGGTGACTGGAAACATATTCTGTGTTCTATGTATGCAACACAATCCCACGCCACTAAGTAGACAGGTAAATTAATCGATCCAAAGCACAGAGGACCATAGAGGAATGTCACAGACAGTAAGTTGAACGAACAACTCCATTTACATAATGTTGGGAAACGAGCAAAGTTCATCAGCATGGATAGTGGGGGGCGGTTACTTCTTGGGGGGCAGACTGGGAAGGAGTCCCCCAGAGGTGGGCGGCAGTGTACATCCTGTGTACACACGGAAAGGTCATCCAGCAATAAACATATCACTGTGCACTTTACTGTACATTCCAGTTTTTCAAATTAACATATAATGTATCACTTGCCCCAGGGGTACAGGTCTGTGAATCATCAGGCTTGTTACCTTCCAGTTTTTAAAAAAATGACTGGCTTACTTGCAAAAACCAAATGCCTTAAGATATGGACAGAGAGGCCTTCTGGCTTTTTTATCTTCCTTGGCTTCCAGAACCCCCGCAGTAAACTCATACAGCTCCGACGGGATCTCGGCACCCGCCCGCTCCAGGTAGCGCACGACGCCGACTGCGTGGCACGCGCTCCTCTCCGTCAGCAGCAAGACAGATTTGGTCTTCTTATCCGCCTGTTCTGCAGGAGAACCCTTAAAATCGGGGGGTGAAGGAAGGCAACAGGTCATCCACCCCAGTCTAAATGACAAAACTTTGTGGATTCTGAATTTGTCATTGCGCAGAAAATACCGGCAGAATATCTAAAGATCATGAAAGTTCATCAAACCTGCTCAGCGGAACTCTGAAAATGATCCGACATGCAGTACAGGCGTCCACCAAAAATTTTGGGGGAGGAAGGAAAGCTGAAGTGAATCACACACGTGGCGTTGGTGATGGCCAAGAGCGGTATGCAGTCATCCGTCAAGGCTGGACAGAAGGGTCCGAGAGTCACAAAGGAGGCTGCGGCCTTCCCGCACTTACTACAGAGCAATTCCAGGAACCGGACTTCAACACCGTTCTCTACTGCATCTCACTTTTTAGATGCCAACCAACTTCTTCCTCATTTTTTTTTCCCCAAAACACCACAGCCCAGTGATGAGGTTCCAGAGAAAAGTGGCCTCCCTAATTTTAGCTTGGAAAATGCTTCTTTTTTTTTTTTTTTAAAGATTTTATTTATTTATTTATTTGACAAAGAGAGAGAGAGTGCGCAAGCAGGCAGAGAGGCAGGCAGAGGCAGAGAGAGAAGCAGGCTCCCCACTGAGCAAGGAGCCTGATGCGGGGCTCGATCCCAGGACCCTAAGATCATGACCTGAGCCGAAGGCAGCGGCTTAACCCACTGAGCCACCCAGGTGCCCCGGAAAATGCTTCTTTCTATGACAAATCTAGGCTGTCCATCAATCTTTCACTTCTTTTATAGTTCTGACTTGTCGATCTCTAACATTGCACATTACAACCATCTGTGACAGATTTCATCGTAGGCACACACACGTTCATGTTCTGGCTGGAACCCCGGGGTGAAGGCCTACACTCACGGCTGCTACACTCGGAGGTCCGCAGGGCCCTGCCTTTGCCTCAACACCAAAATCTTGGCAGAGCTTAACCTTCATTTTGAAATTAACATTTCTAATAAATTCTCAGTAAATCTGGGAAATGATGAGAAATTTGGACATGAGCTATACAAACAAATGGAAGACATGATTCCTATTAGCTCAGCCTTCTCTAAATGGAAGTAGAAATTAAAACACTTACCTAAGACAATGTGAGAGCCAGAACTTAACTTCTTCTTCCACTGTTCTAAAACACTTTTTAAATTAAAAACCACTTCTTTATGCATTTTCAAACAAAATATTGAACTGCTTTCTATTACCTAAAGATGAAACCAAATAGGCCAGTTCAGAGTCAGGAACATAAGCTTGAAATTAATTGTTCCATCAACAATTATCAGTATAAGACATTTAAAATTATCTGTGATGGTATTACCTCATTGATCTACAACTTTTAAGAACAAGATGATTGTAAACGGAAACAAATATATTTCTAAAATTCTATAGTTTGTTTCTAAACACTTGCTCAAATGAAGCCAACGTTTTGCTACAACCATTTTCCTTCCTTTTCAAAAATGCGTGCACCCACACATGTGTATGCATACGCACGTACACACACACCCAACTTATGTGCCAGCATGCCCCAGGCAGTCCCGACACCTCCACTTCATCACTGCTGAAAGGTGGCTGTACTACTGATTTATATATTTTTAATTTTTTATAGAATCTTTTTTTCAAAAGATTTATTTGAGAGAGAGAGCGCACATGTGTTGGCGGTGGGGGCAGAGGGGCAAAGGGCAGAGGGACAGAGAGACTCTCACGCAGACTTCCCGGGAGTGTGGAGACTGACGCGGGGCTCGATCTCAGGACCCTGAGGTCAAGACCTGAGCCAAAACCAAGTTAGGCTGGAAGCCTAACTGACTGCACCACCCAGGAGGCCCTGCTTCTTACATTTTAATTTGTATTTGGCTTCATTTCTACATTTTACTATCCATGCAGATTTAGATTATTTAAATAAATCTGTCACCAGCTTAGTGGCTTTTCTGGCCACACGATCTATCTCTTGGTGTTACTGTCTCTATGTTTTTAAACAGAGGATACAGAAGTCGCTGGCATTTCTTTATGAATGGGACAAATTCATTGACAAAACACAAGGTACTGGCCTCCTTGGGGAACACCTGCTCGGCTCTCCCCCCGAGGACAGGCCTCCTGCTGTTCTGTCTCATTGCTACGCATACTCCACAGCCCCGGTCTCTTCTGACTGATGATCAACTGCTAATGTCTTACCCCCTGTCAAATACTTAACTACCGGTAATTCTCTGATGATTTCGAGATTCCATCTTGGTTTAAACACACAGTAAGGGCACTGTATGGGCTCACCTTACACACGGTTTCTGTTTCAGCTACAGAACCAGTGAAGATCAAGGTCTTTTGTGCTTGACTTGGAATAAAATCTAGAGTCTGGAGTAAAGTAGAGGTTTTTTCACATTCTAGGCAAAGGCGCACTACCTGGTGATGAAATATAGCAACAACGTGGTTTTAAAAACATATTCGAGGTGCACCAGTTTCACTTTTCATCGGTAAGTGAGATCTTAACAGAAAAATGTACAGAAAATCAATATGGATTATTGTGCATGAGATTAAAGCTGTACTATTTTAGGAGGCAGCCACCAAACCAAGGCTCCTGGCTTTGTGTTCATCAGCCCCCACCTCCCATTCGCCCACGAGCCTGTACCTGCTGGACGCTGCCGTAGAGAGCAGCCTCTTCCAGGGCCGTGACCACGATGTAGGGGTCGTTCATGAACTCCTTGACCAATTGCTCTATGTGTCCGCTCCAGTGAACACCCACAGCAACAATCTGATGTGGTGAAGATTCCCTTTCTTCAATGTCAATATTTTTTTTAAAGTTATCCAGTATAGCAAACATCTAAAAAAATTAGTAGAATTAATTCCACTTTCATTTCAGAAGGGGATAATCACTGGTTGACAGAACATGACCGGTAAAGAACTGTACACTTTCTGTTGTCAGAGTGCGGGAAGGCCTTTCCAAACAAAAGAGAAAAACTAGAAGGAGAGAATGTTAAATATAAACATAATAAAACACAAACAATATCTGGGTGAATGTGTAACATATATAACAAAGCATTAACATCCTTATATTAAAAAGGTCTACAAACAGACTACAAAAAGATGATCCTGCCAACAGAAAATAAGCAAGGAAAATGAACACGCCGCCCAGAGAAGAACTGTACCAGTGGCCAGTACGAATGCTCAGCTTGACAAGTAATCAAGGAAATACAGGACGCTCACGCGAGATGCCACGTTTAACACGCCGACTGAAAACGAGAGCTGGCCTAAGGCTCTCCCCCTGCCCGGGGCATGGGGCATGGGGCGTGGCAGCACGCTGTCCACGGGGGTCTCTGCTTTCAGAAAGGCAACTGCACGGTGCGGTATACTGGATATTAGCTTTGCAAATCAGAACTGAGGCTTTAGAGACATTCCCAAACCCTGCAGAGGCCCACACGGTCAGTAAGCGACAAAGCCTGGACTTGAACGTGGGGACGTCACTGCTGCCACATGAAATGCTTGTGGTCCTCCTGTTACACTGCGCCTAAGAAACGCCTTCCTGTAAGAGTTCATAGTCTGTGATCCATTAATCCCCTCCTAGAAATAGACCCTAAGGGAAATGTGCAAAAAAGACCTATGTTCTTTAGAGACATACACACAAACAATGCTAAATGTCCAAAAATCGGACCATTTAAAAAAGTTATGTTATGCCCACAGGATTCCATCCTGGCCTGTGGCCAGCGAAGAATCACACCGCAGGACACCGCTCTGACACTGCTTACTGAAAATGCAAGTTATGAGCTAGCCATAAAGTAAGGCCTGATGTTGTCAGTTCTGCGGATCAACTGGAATTAGAAAAGGGATTTAGAATTATAAATTACAACAGGTATTACAAACAGGGATTACTCCAAAACAGAAACAGTGATTACCTCCAAGGGTAACACAATGGATGCTGGGGCTTTTCAAGTATTTTTCTCTATACCCCAAATTTTCTAGAATAAAACTTACTGCTTCCATAATCATAAAAATATCAGTACTTTAGAAAACCTCACCAGAAAATTTTTGCTCTCCAAAGAGAACTTTAAAATTTGGGAAGGAGGAGGGATGCTGGGTGGCTCAGTCGTTAAGCACCTGCCTTTGGCTCAGGTCATGATCCCAGAGTCGTGGGACTAAGCCCATCAGGTGCCCTGGTCAGGGAGGAGCCTGCTTCTCCCTCTCCTTCCCACTCACTCATGCTCTCACTGTCTCTGTCACTCACTCTCTCTCAAATAAATGAAAAAAATCTTAAAAAAATTGGGGAAGGAAATTTCAGACAAACTCTCTTCAAAATTATAAAAGTTAAATGGAAAATCTTCCAAGATTAACTGGCTCCCCCCCCCACCACCAATAAACACATCCTCTCCTGATTCCTAAAAGCAGGTAAGTCCTCAGTCACATATACACTTATTTCTGAGTGATAATGACTTCGGATGGAGGCCACACTTACCTCCTTACTAGCTTCAGAGAACAGCACCTCTACCTCATCCAAGATGAGATGACAGAGTCTAAGAAATAACAAGCTCTGGTATCTGAGAAGTCTCAGGAGGCTGTGGGGTGTTGTAACGATGACCTCACCTACGTGTGGAAAGAGAAGATGATGAACATTCAGGTTTTCCACAGGTTTTCCCTCACGTTTCCTTTGCTAAGATGCCACATACTTCTAGACCTGAGGTCTAATGGGGCACAAAACGGTTTTTCTAGCTGGGGGGAGGGGTGCGTCCTGCTCGTCCAGGCCAACACCTGTCCTTATCTAACACCTGGGCTCCCACAGGTGTTTGTGCTCCTGAAAGGCAGGGGCGGGGGCACGGTCGACATCTAATGAACAGGAGGTATTCGATAAATAGTGGGTAAAGGAGATCATAGCATTTTCTCAGTGGAACGCCTGTGAGCCAAGGTCCAACCTTCATCCTTCTGTGCCCGCCCGTAAGGGACATTGAGGTCCCACCTGTAGCAGGACAGGTAACACCATCGCACAAGCCCGTGTCCCGGTCAGCAGCGGCGCCCGCCTGGCAGGCCTCCACTGCCCTCTGCAGGGAAAACCAAACAGCTTAGAAAGGATGCTTACACCCCCTTGGAAGCTTCATGTTTTTGGCTTCATCTTTGTGGAGTCCGATTGTTAACAACATGGGATGAAGAGGCCTGGAGGACGTGCTATAGTCTTCCAGTAATTCAAAAATAAACTGAGCCTTTTTCCACCCAGGGCACACGATGACTGCCAGAGGCTGCAAAGACAAATTCACATAATTTGGGGCAAAAGTTAGGGATTGAACCTAATGTATGCTGAAGCATGCAGACCATCTCCTGGCACGGGGGAAGCACTACCTAACTCATTTGCTATCATCATTATCCTGGAAGTCAGAAAGGATATAATTTCATTAGAATGGATTTAGACACACGGACTCAGATTCCTCTAGAGCTTACACCAATTAATATTCACGAATATTAATTCACTGTGTCTTTAAAAGACTCTCACAGGGTAGGACCTATTATCACCTCACGACGTCACATATGCGGGGTGTGAGGCACAGAGAGGTAAAGTTAGTTGCCCAAGGCCGCACAGCTAATAGCTAGGAGCAACAGGATCTGAACCAGGCGGTCTGGCTCCAGGGCTCCTGCTCCCAGGGACCAGGCGAACTAACGGCCTCCTGAAAGGGGCTTTAGAAAAGGGCATCACTTCTGTAGGGGGTATCTGAGGGCAGACAGCACACCGAGGGCGCACGGCCTGCCACACACCCTCCCAGACACATGCCCTCAATGGGCTGCAGACCAGCACAGGTCTCCCCTCTCCTGCATGCAGATCCAGGTGGGCGCCGGCTTCTGGGCACCCGGCCTAACAGCAGGCAGACCACAGGGATGTGGTGAAAGCAGAGGACACGAGAGGTAAGACCCGGACATCCTTTCTGACCCGGCCCCAGTTCTATCGCAACACAAGCAGCGGCTGGTCCACAGGGGTCAGAGGCTCACTGAGGGACGCAGATGGGAGGTCAGTACACAATAACCCAGCCGACCCAGATTTCCAAAGGGCAAGCATTAAAACTGCATGGCAGGAGGAGGACAAGGAGCATCTCTCCTACATGCAACGCTGTCTTTTCTTCCCACGATCTGCCACCTGAAGATGGAGCTGTCCGCACCGTGTCCTCTGACACACGTCTGAGACAGAACTCTTCTGCACGTGGTTCGCCTGATAGCCCAGACCCCGCAAAGCAGGACTCGCTACCCACCATCACCTGACCCCACATCCCACTGCTCTCCTTTCCAGCACCCTTCACGACTCCCTGCAGACTCCCACACACGGAAAGAATAAAGTAGGGGGTCGACAACAGTGTGGGCTACTGTGAAATAATTAAAAGAATAGGGGACACAACAACAGAAAAATCTAAATTCTAATCCCACCTTGTCTCACCTGTCAGATGAAGCTAATTTTCTCACCTATGAAACAATGAAAACCGTACACGGCCTGACCATCTCCCAGGGTGACTGTCACAGACGATTTATATCAGTAGAAGAAGTTTATAAGCTACATATTCATCCCAAATGCCAGAAACCTCTGGGCTCAGCCAATGGCCACAAAGGGGGCTCAGGGGAAGAATCACTGTCAGAGAATCAACGAGTCTGGTAAGTTCCTGTCTTGTCATGGAAACCAAATGTGTAATGGAACCCAAACTTCACCAAAGGTTCAGCGTAAAATTTAAATATTTAGGCCACGCTGTTGTGGAAACAAGACAGTCTTCAACTTACTCCGTTTCTGCTTGGTAAAGACTTGTAGCAGCCCCCCATCTGCAGAATTGTAAGCACGGGTGGGAGGTAGAGCAGGGGACTGTTTCCACAGTGAGAGATGACCACCACGTCACAGCCCCGGGCTATGGGTGGCCAAGAGTAGGATTCTGCGTGGCTGGGTCCCGGGAACCTGTTTCTCTGAAGAGCCTGCAAAACAGCCCCCCAAAAAGCACGAATGAAGCACAGGAAACTAACACAAGCTCCATCTCTTTGTTCACCTCCCCTCCCACCCCAACAGCAACTACACACGGCTTATTCTGGTATTTTCTAAGACCTCACTTCTCAAGTCCCTGTGTCTCTTCTCAGCACCAAACTCCTGGCCTAAGACGCTTGCCTTTCTAGGCTCCAAATTAAAACCAGGTGCCTAGAGCTCACCAGAGCAAGGACGTGGCTCCTCCCAATAATCTGTGAGTACATCAGGCTTTACTTACAAAGCTGGGTTTTTTTAAACATGCCTTTATTGGGGCGCTTGGCTGGCTCAGTTAGAGGAGCATTCAACTCTTCATCTCAGGGTCGTAAGTTTGAGCCCCACACTGGGTGTAGAGATTGCTTAAACAAACTTAAAAAAAAAAAAAAGTGCCTTTATTTATTTTTCTACGTAATGGTCACTAAAACCTCCCAAGTGTGGCAACAGAAAGAGTTCTCCAGCCACACTTGACCCTACGTTCCAAGAGGCTGAACTCATGAGCACAATTTGTGCATGACGTCCTTGTCCCCCAGCCCTGAGCCCCAGGAGCGGCGCAGACCACCGACTGGGTGTCCCTCATGCAGCCGTCACTCTGTGGCCTCCCGGCACTGTCCCTGCTGTCTGCAAGACCAGTCATCCTTCTTGGCTGACAGTCTTGCTCTGGTGGGGAACATACTTCCGGAGCGTCCTTCTTGAGTCAATTCTTGAGAGGCTCTTGCGTGTCTGAAAACGTTTTCATTGCTAGTTTCCAGTGGACATCAAGATTGTGAAGAACTTTTCGCCAGGAAGTCGGAATTGGCGCCTGAAGCGCCCCCTATTGGAGTGATCCTGCCTCCTCTCTGTGCTGGGCTGTGGGAGGGGAACTCTCCTAATTTGTTCAGTCCTTCCATGAGGACTGGAAACCACTTGTGTATTGCTCTTATAATTTTCTGCCCACTTCCTCTGCTCTTCTAAAAAATTGGGGCACCTGGGTGGCTCAGTGGGTTAAAGCCTCTGCCTTCAGCTCAGGTCATGATCTCAGGGTCCTGGGATCAAGCCCCGCGTCGGGCTCTCTGCTCAGCAGGGAGCCTGCTTCCCCCTCTCTCTCGGCCTGCCTGTCTGCCTACTTGTGACCTCTCTGTCAAATAAATAAATAAAGTCTTAAAAAAAAAAAAATCCCCACTTCAGGGACTGGACCTTGAAATGACCCTCAAATTGTTTCCATTTCCATCTTGTCTGTTTGCTCTACTTTCTGATAGTTTCCATTTTCTCCCTCCAATCTGCTGGTTGGTTTCTAGCTCGACAGCGTTCTGAAATTCCAAGAACCATTTCTATCCTCTGGGCCTTTTTTATAACACCCAGTTATTGTTTGTAAGTACTGTTAATACTTATCTCTGAAGGTATTTATTTTGTAGCTTTTTTTTTTTTTAAAGATTTGTCAGAGAGAGAGCACAGGCAGGGGGGCGGCAGGCAGAACAGGCAGAGAGAGAAGCAGGCTCCCCGCTGAGCAAGGAGACCTATGCGGGACTGGATCCCAGGACCCGGGGATCATGACCTGAGCTGAAGGCAGCAGCTTAATCAACTGAGCCACCCAGGTGTCCTGTGTTATCTTCTTTCTACTGCTTACACTGTTTGTTTCCTTCAGAGTTTTATTTTGGTCTTTTTTTTTTTTTAATGCTTTTATTTTCTTTTTTAGGTGGGAGCTTTCATCAAATGTCTAAGGATCCCTGACGTCTGTTTGCAGGGAGAAGGCCCACTAAAAGCGGGCTGGAAGAAGTGTGGCCAGCGCAGAGCTCGGCACTATCAGTGCCGCACCCCCTAGAGGAAGCCAGGGCAGTGAGCAGGTGTCTTCTCTAGAAGAATTCATCCGAAGGACATTTCTAGGGTCATTCGGTTCCTTCAGAAAGATCATCCTTCCCGAGAGGCTGACTGTGGATGCTCAGGAAGAGGGAAGAGGGAAGGTCAGAGCCCCCTACTTCTCCTTCCTCTACTAGTCAACCACACTCTGCTGCCTGTTTTCCATCTTCCGAAAGCCTGCGGAAATTTCTAGGCCATTAAAGACTTTGCTCTCATTCAATTCATCCTCGTGGATTTAGTTTCTTTCTGTCCTTTTTTTTTTTCTGAATCAAGAAGGAAATAGATAAGCATGCATGATCAAATTACTAACTGAAATGGCAGGTCTCAAAAGCAGTTTTTTTCTTTTTTAAAGATTTTATTTATTTATTTGACAGAGATCACAAGTAGGCAGAGAAGCAGGCAGAGAGAAAGGGAGAAGCAGGCTCCCCGCTGAGCAGAGAGCCCAATGTGGGGCTCGATCCCAGGACCCTGGGATCATGACCTGAGCCAAAGGCAGAGGCTTTAACCCACTGAGCCACCCAGGCGGACCTCGAAAGCAGTTTTGAGAAGAACACTTGGAAATATAGCGTAACTGCCCTGGTAAGTTGTTGCTCCTTATAAGCCTCTTTCCAGAGACACATCTGAAAACTTATCTCAGAAAAGCATGAAGAGAGGCACCTGGGTGGCTCAGTGGGTTAAGCCTCTGCCTTCAGCTCGGGTCATGATCTCAGGGTCCTGGGATCGAACCCCACATCGGGCTCTCTGCTCGGCAGGGAGCATGCTTTGCCCCCCCCACCCCGCCAACTGTCTGCCTCTCTGCCTACTTCTGATCTCTGTCAAATAAATAAAATCTTTTAAAAAAGAAAAGAAAAGCACGAAGAGTTATACAGTGGTTTTGCCAAAGAAATATTATTCACCTATAGGAAGTTAACCTGAAGAACACATGAGAACTTAATAACAAAAGCTTAACAGAGGATTTCAAAGGCTAAGAAATGACTCAAGTGCAGCCTTGGAAGGGTTTCCTAAAAATCCTCCTGTGTTACAACAGGTGAGCATTCCTCCAGGAGCCCGCCTTCAGGAGCACTTTTACCTTTCTCAGGTCTGCCGAAAGTGGCGCCGAGTCCATGGTCAAGCAAGGCTCGATCTTGTTCCGGAGCACGGCCAAGGGCTGCTGGGAGCCGGACCGCAGCCTCTGCAGCTGAGACAGCACGCCTGCCTGTCAGACGCCCGCTGGCAGATGCCCCGCCCCGCCCACTGGCAGAGCCCTGTCCCTGTCACACACAGCAACCCCCCAACCCTGCCAGCACAGGAAGTCAACCACTTTGGGAAAAGGAAGGACGGCTGAGGTAAATATGCTCATCAAAACCCACCCAAACTACCAAAATGAAAGGAAGAGCACCTACTAACCCTCCCACACCCCGCCAAATAATAACAATGTCTCTAAAACAATAATTCACTGGAGAATCTCTAAAAGGGTGTCTTCTTCAGGGAGAGACACTACCTAAGGGGGTTTCTCTTCTCATCTCAAATCCAGACGAGGAAGGAGAGAGACTGAAAGAGTAAAGAGTTGTCGTGGATTTTTAATTTTTTCTGTAGGATTGTCATACCTGCTGCAGATCAGAGATCCCATCCGCTCTCAAAGGATCAGGATTTAAAAACTGCAACAATCTATAAAGTAGTGAAAAGGGCAATGTGAAGGAAAAAGGAGTGTTAGTATTTCTTCAACTGAGTTATAATCTTAATTCTTCCTTGACAGAGATAAAATGAAACATACGGCTGGGCCTTAAGCTGTGCACACCCACTTATGTGCAGATTACTGTACATTACTAAAAATGTACTCTTTTGATTTTCTTGGTAACATTTTCTTTTCTCCAGCATACTTCATTTTAAGACGACAATATGTAATAAGCAAAACACACAAACACATGTTAACTGACTACGTTACTGGTAAGGCTTCTGGTCAACAGTAGGTTATTAGTGTAGCTAAGTTTTGGGGGGGGTCACAAGTTATACGCAGACTTTTAACTGTGTGGGAGGTCAGCACTCCAAATGTCCATGTTGTTCAAGGGTCAACCATATATCCCAAGGCATAGCTATGAAATTACTGCTCGTCCCCTTTTGTACTGTTTTTTGTGCTGCAAAGGCCACAGAGGTCAGGTCAGTATGGTGCTTGCCCCTGAACCCTGGCCCCCGGGCCATGGACACAGCACTGCCAATCCAAGGAACACTTGTTCTGAACATGAAGAAAGACTGCGTGATCACCAGGTAATCTCACGTTGCTGAGAAACCCACCGCTTTCTCCCTTCTGTGCCATAATCCTGAACCACGGGCAGAGTAACTGCCGTAGTTGAATCAATGGGTCCTAAGTAAATGGCATTTCACCCAAGAGGAGAGAAAAATACTACCTTTTAATAGAAAAGTAAAAGGCAAGAGAGTATCTCAGGGTGACTTTTCAAGTTATAATTTAATGTAATGAAAATAAGAAATGAGCTGCATGGGTAACGCAAGGTCTCTCGTTCCAGGGAAAACCATGACATGCAGCCCCACGGCCTCTCGGGAGTAGCATGGAGGACTCCCTGGGAGGAGGGGGTCAACACAGCTGCCCTGATAGCCACCCCCAGATCTGTGGGCTCCAGGGCTACCTCCACAGCCCCTGGCCCAGGATCCAGGAGGCAGGAAGCCCAAATGGCGTTGCAGTCAACGCCCTCCCCGCAGTCATCCCAGGCTGATCATTGGACACAGCTCTCAACTGTCACAGATCCCGGGCCACTGTGGTGACTTCGGAGCAGCCAGTTACTTGGGATATAGTGTTTTTAGGCTGGTATGGTAAGAAATCATAAACATGAGTATGAGAATGTTTCAGGGCTTAAACAAGTATGAAATAAAGTTACTACTCTACTGGTAACAACTCGTCAGTGAATATTTCTTTGTGAATCTGATGAGAGGAAACAAAACAAACCCCCCACCAAAAACAAAAAACCACCACCCAGTTCCATACTGCAAGTAACTACGTAGTTTCTCCAGCCCGTGGAAGACCCCATTAGCATGAGAGAACTGGGAAGGTAGCAGACGTAAACCCACAGAAGATCAACAGCCCCAGAGGCCAACCGTATCTAAATTGCTTCATAAAAATTTACCAAGAGAATAAGGATCAGCATGGGAAGGCAGAAAATGACTACGTACAGGGCGCCTGGGTGGCTCCGTGGGTTGGGCCACTGCCTTCAGCTCGGGTCGTGATCTCGGGGTCCTGTGATAGAATCCCGCCTCGGGCTCTCTGCTCAGTGGGGAAATTGCTTCCCTCTCTCTCTCTGCCTGCCTCTCTGTCTACTTGTGATCTCTCTCAAATAAATAAATAAAAATCTTTAAAAAAAATGACTATGTACAGTGGAACGAAGATTTTACAAGAAAAATCTACCCTAGTGAACAGGAAAAATAATTTCAAAGCCTACAGCAGACACTGTAGGTGTATTTTCCACATGGGAATGCAAGTTTGAAATAAATAATAAAATCATATGTAAATTCTTCCTGCTTATAATTTTATTACAATTATTTCAATAAAATATTTAGAACAAGGAAAAAAATTCATACTTCACACAGCCATTCTTCTCATTGTGTTCTTTCTTCTCGGCCAACCTAAGTGGTTTCTCATTTGGCTTCTGACATAAAGCACTAGGAACCAAAAAACATTCATTAGAATCTCTGAGCCCTTGGGGCGCCTGGGTGGCTCAGTGGGTTAAAGCCTCTGCCTTCAGCTCAGGTCATGATCTCAGGGTCCTGGGATCGAGCCCCACATTGGGCTCTCTGCTCAGCAGAGAGCCTGCTTCTTCCTGCCTCTCTGCCTACTTGTGATCTCTGTCAAATAAATAAATAAAATCTTTAAAAAAAATTTCTAAGCCCATTTGCCCCAATCCTGAAAATGCCTTTATTTTCTGGGAGAAAACTCCCAGTAAGTAGCACAAATGAGTGAGTCCCTCTTCATAAGCAGATCTATTTCTGTGAGAACGGACACTGTCCTCTAAGGGTAAAAACCACACTGAGGGCGCCAGTGATCACCAAGATGGCATAAGGCCTCCACAGCCTGTCTCTCGTCTGACCTCAGCTGGAAACTCTATGTAAAGTGCAGAACCAAAGGGGAGAGAAACCGCCAGCATCGTGGAGAATTCCCTGGAATTTTATACTCCTTTGCCTCCTGGTGTTGGCCTGAGGCCGGCTCAGTAATGCTGCTGCAGTGATGACAGGGGGCTGTCACCCCAAACTCCCTATCTCTAAAGGATCTGGGAAATGGGCCCCAGGGTCCACAGACATGGGGGAACCTCCATCTCTTTCCTTTCTCGTTTACAATGCTGTTTTGCTCCACAAGCGGCCCTAAGCATACAGAACTGTGTAGCCATTTCTCCATGAAAAACCACCACCTACTTGGACAGAGGGAGCATCTAGAAAATGGTCAATGTGAAGAATATCCCGGAAAAGAAAAAAAAGAGAGTGTGCTGGAGAGAGGGGGCCCCCCATCCCTGTCTATGAAGTCCCAGGCTTGCCTCATGTCTGAGCACATTCAGAACAGACCCCAAGCAAAACTGAGGTCACCACCCAAATGGAGCCAGAACCTGGCACCTGAATGGGGTCCCTGACTTACCACTAAAATAAACAGAAACACCACGGCCAGCATTGTCCAGAGGATTTGAATAGAAACCAGCGTCTCACACCATAATATTCAAAATATCCAGAACACAACACACAAAGAGCCAGGGAAACCAGATCAACTGTCAAGGGAGAAGACGACCAGTAGGTGGGAACTCCAGGATGGCAGACAAGTGGGAAGTATCATGTACTTTAAAGCAGCTGTTGCAACCTTGATCCCGAAGAGAGGGAGGGGTGAGCACTCTTGAGTGCAACAGCTACAGTTCTCAGCAAAGAAATATGAACTATAAAAAAAATCAGACAAATTTTAGAATGGAAAAATACGATACATTAAATTTAAAAATTCAGCAGATGTGCTAAATAGCAGGACAGAGATGACAGAAGGTTCAGTTAAGTTAAAGATACCTTAGCAGAATTACTGCTCTGGAGAATAGCAAGGAAAAAGGGTAAAAGAAAAAAAATGAGCCAAGTCTCAGGGACCTTTCAGACAGTATCAAAAGGTGTGCTACTTTGTCTCATCAGAGTCTCAAAAGGACGGGAGAAAGAGACACATGCAGACAACTCCTGTACAGTAGCAACTGAATGCTCTCCAAATCTGATGCAAGACAGACACCTACACATGAAGAACCTTAATGAGCACCAAGCACAAGAACCAGACAGGAGAGAAACTACACCAAGGCATATATAGTTAAACTGCTCAAACCAGAAACAAACAGAAGAATCTCAAATGCAGTCAGAGGAGAAAGACATGCTGCAAACATGGGAACAAAGAAAAAGATGACAGTAGCTTTTGCATTGGGAATCATGCAGCAAGCAGACTGTACGCCAGTATCTTTAAAATACAGGGAAAAAAGAACAGTCAACCTAGAATTCTATACCCAGCAAAAATACCGTTTTTTCAAAAATGAAGCTGAAATAATTTTTCCAGACATGTAAATGTCAAAAGAATCCATCACCAGCAGATCCGCAATATAATCAACAGTAAAGGTAGTTCTTCAGGGACAAGCTCGATACTAGATGGGAGAGCTGGATCCACATATACAGTGAAAAGCACTGATGGTAACCACACAGGTAAACACCGAAGGTATTTTCCTTTCTTCCTGGCCTAGGAGCTTCTCTTCAAGATTGGGTATTTATGCTCATTTCACAAGGGAATGAAAACCTGGTATTTAAATCTCTCGAATTAAAACAGATATTTAAATCTCTCAAAAGACCACTGACTATTTAGGTACAATTGATACTAGAGCCTAAGCTGTATAAAGAACGTGTAAATGAAATGTAGGACGACATGAGCATACAGCCCAGGAGGGGAGGAACGGACCACACAACGTTAAGATCTTACACCGTTTGTGACACGGTGCAATAGTGCGACTTCTCTGTGATTTCACAAACATGATCAGCCTGACACTTGATGTGGACAGGGTTTCAGTCAAAGCCTCAAACACTCCTCATCAGCAGTCAGTCTCTGCCCTCCACCACCGTGTACTACCACCTGCCCTGCACATACCAGCCTTTACAGCAGGACAATTCCACTGCACCGATCTCACAGAAACAACTTTGTCCAACAAGGTAACACAGAGACCCTACGGCCACTACCAATTTTTGGTTAGCTGTGCTACTAACCAGTTGTTCTATGCTTTTCTTTTAAATTAATATAGGTTGAATAAAAATTTCCAGGGCCACTCTTTACCAAAAATGAATCCTTTCCTATCACCAATCATATAGAACACCATGTAAGACAATATTGCCCTCATGTATCTATTCAATTACACTGAATTTTCAAATCATACCTCGTGGCAGGTACATCTGGCTCAGCATATATCGTTATTCCCCTCTTTGTTGGCCAGTACACGGAGGATTTAACACACTGTAAAAAAATTTTTTTAGAAAGAATATGTATGCTAGCAAGATACGTATTCTTATGGAGCTAAAATTCCATGGGAATCATTCTCACAAACAACCATCCCAGATCATTTTCAAGCATGTCTGTACATGGACAAAGAACTGGATAATGTGATTATGCCACTCCTCCAACCACTACATTAAGAATCCAAGTAGCAAGCAGTTGGCACTTCAGATACTCAGCATGTCCTGATATATAATACAGATAAATAATTGCAAATTGTAAATACCAGTATAAATACTGATAAATAACTACAGATACAGCATGTCCTATAATTATTTCACTTGTCTTGTCCAAGGACTGGAAAGACAGGTTAGACTTGAACTATTAGATTGTCCCATAATCTCAGGTTTTCATTCCCTTGTGAAATGAGCATAAATACCCAATCTTGAAGAGAAGCTCCTAGGCCAGGAAGAAGAGGGAATCTGGAGTTCTCTTGTTCTTTTGAATTAGAGCAAACACACAAACTATATATCTTCCTGAAAGACACTACCATAGCCAAGGAATTCTTAACAGAAAACATACTTTGGTTCCTAGATTTCAAACAAGAATATTCTAAAATTAACACTGTATGAACTTTATACCTAGTGAACATTTTAAAATACAACCTTATTTACATCTTTCAAGGAGATGTGCTGTTGTTTCTTTTCAGACTTTTTTTTAGGTGAACCTCTCAATGAATCTCTACATTTTATAGTTCCATCTGCAAAACAAAAAGTGAAAAAGTCCTATCTTAGAAAGTGCTATTAATAGAAAATGATTATAAACTTAAAAGTACAATCATAAAAACCTTAATACATGAAATTTTTATGGAATAGGGTTTTGAATTGAACTTGAGGAGATTAAATTTAAAAATTTTGTTTCAGGGACGCCTGGGTGGCTCAGTGGGTTAGCCGGCTGCCTTCATCTCAGGTCACAATCCCAGCATCCTGGGATCGAGTCCTACATTGGGCTCCTTGCTCCACGGGGAGCCTGCTTCTCCCTCTGCCTCTGCCTGCCACTCTGCCTGCCTGTACTCTCCCTATCTCTCTGAGAAATAAATAAATAAAATCTAAAAATAAATAAATAAAAATAAATTTTTTTGTTTCAACCCTTGTCACATTAAAAGATGTTTAAATAATTCCTTTACTATTTTACAAGCAATTAAACTGGATTTACTTTCCCACCTTGGCAGACCATTATTTTTCAAAGAGGGCCACAACATGTCTCCCAACATACATGCTCTTCTTACAATTTGACACGGATATGTGTCCTGCTGAGAAATGGGCTCTGTACTGCCATCCCATGAGCCACAGGGCGGAGGCTGGGGGGCGGGCAGTTGTAAACAACATGGAAGTGGGGTTACGTTACCTCAAAGCTAGCCAGCCAAAATGCCAGGTACTTATGACCTGTCCTCTTGAATGCTGTCAAAACCCAGCCAGCATGCTGGGAAGAAGCTGAAGCAGCCCCATGGAAAGGTCACTATAGGTATTTCAGATTAGCCCCCAATCATGGTCCCAGCTAAAGGCTACAATCAGCTGCCAGAGATGTCACTGCATAAGTTTCAAATGAATCCATCTGCTTCATCACCACCAGCCTTCAGGTCTCCCCAGCTGAGGCCCCAGCCACTGGGGAACTGAGACAAACCCTTTCTGTTGTGCCCCCCTCTGAATTCCCAACCACAGAATCCATACATGATATAAAATGGCTTACACCACTAAGCATTATCAAATGTTTGTCACAAAGCGATCAGAACCAGAGCATCAACTGTAACTGTTTAAGCAATGATTCGGGACGACACCTGTGCATCTCACTTCTTAACCGCACATCAGGCACAGAAGGCATTAGGAAACAGGCTGAATCTGAGTAGCGGGCAGCAAAATTCTAAAGCAGACTCTTTCAAATATCTTTATTCTTTTTTTTTTAATTTTATTTATTTATTTTTAAACATATATTTTTATCCCCAGGGGTACAGGTCTGTGAATCGCCAGGTTTACACATTTCACAGCACTCACCATAGCACATACCCTCCCCAATGTCCATAATCAAATATCTTTATTCTTTAGGCCTTTAGGATTTGGAAAAGTGACAAACACTGTTCTGTGAATCTGAATAATCAAGCAAGGTAATTACGCTTGGGTAAAAACTGAGGCTTGGTGGCTCAGTGGGTTAAAGCCTCTGCCTTCCGCTTGGGTCATGATCCCAGGGTCCTGGGATTGAGCCCCACATCAGGCTCTCTGCTCAGCAGGGAGCCTGCTTCCCTTCCTCTCTCTGCCTGCCTCTCTGCCTACTTGTGATCTCTGTCTGTCAAATAAATAAATAAAATCTTTAAAAAAAAAAACAAAAAAAAAAACAACTGAGGCCTGATGCAAAGAAAAAGAAAAGGATATCAATCCAGCAATTGTTTTTTAGGACACTACACAAGCAATCCTGGAAAGTGTTCACACTAAGCATCAATAAGAGAAACACAACCGAAATGACAAGGTACACCTTTTATCTATTAAATAACATAAGTCACTAAAACAAATAGTAAACACTGGAAATGTGAGATGATGTTGTAAACTGGTCTAATCTTTCTTTAAAGTAATTTGGTGCCCAAGCCTGCTTGTCATGGAATCTTGGGGTCTGAAAATACATTCTCTCTTGAGGGTGTTTCATTATAGCCAAAAATAAAAACTCTGCTCTGGATCCAGGAGTGAAGGTGATGGACGAAATTTGCTCAGATAATAAATGTCCATGCAACACAAGCTTTCAAAAAAAACAACAAAGTCTACAAATCAATGTCATTATAAATGTTAAAAAAAAAAAAAACAAACCCACAAAGGTTTTGTCAGGCAGTAGAGATTCACACCTGAGGAAACGGAGATAAAAGAGCACCTGAAAAGGACTCTAAAATAAATATACTAAAGATACCCAAGAGATAAAAAGGATTCAGGTTCATGAAACAAACTGAGTGGATATAAAAAGAAACACAGACATGAAAAAGAACCTATCAGAACTCCAGCGGCAAGAAACAGTCATCAGATTGAAAATTCAAAAAGGTAAAGTTAATATTAAGCTGAAAGCTAAGAGAAAAGTGGTAATTTTAAAGAATTAAGAAAACCTTTCAAAACTGAGTCCAGAGAAATAAAAAGTAAATGCAAAGAAAGCTATAAAAAATAGATGATAAAGAAACACTAATCTACATCTAAGAGGAAAGAGGATAACATTTTTACAAATGTTAACATCTAATGCTTTTCAGAAATTCAAGTTACACATGAATTCTGCAATTAAAAAATTCCATGTGTTAACAAATAAATCTGAACCATCCACTCTTAGACACATTGTAAAGAAACTGCAAAATTATCAAGGATAAAAAGAAAAATCTAAAAAAACATCAACAGAACATAGTAATTACTTACAAAAGAAAAACCAACAGATTGACAGATGAGGAGAAAATGAACCACTATCTCCACTGTTGGAGGAAAATAAAGAACAACCCTGGAATACCATATCTGGTTTAACTATTAGCAGATGTTAACATCTATTACCCACAATCCCCTTCTGAAAGTACTAAAATATGTATCTGAGAAAGAAGAAAAATAAACCAGCCATGGAAATAATAATCCTAATAACATTAATAACCTAATTTAAGATAGTAGTAGGGAAGCCAGAAGGGGGAGCTCTCAGGCTGTAGCAGCCCTCACAGCCTCTTGTGGACCCAACAGGAAGAGATGCACCTTGCATCTTCCAACAGGAAGAAACCCAGAATTTCTCCTTGCCCAGCAACAGTCCAGCCAATGAGAGACTGTCACAACTCAGTCAATGAAAAGCCACTACACTATGGACTCCCACTTTATTCCAACGGACTTTTTAACAGCCCCTCCCAAGTCCCCCCTTTACCTCTGTAAAAGAGCCACCTTCTCCTTTGTACTCTGGATCGCCACATCGTTTTGCTGTAGTTGCCTGTCCTGAACTGTAATTCTCTACTATTCCCAAATAAACCCATTTGTTGGTAAAATAACTGCCAGTTTTGTTCTCAAGATCGACTATATATATATATATATATATATATATATATATATATATATATGCCCATGTGTGCTGATCGATAAGTCAAATGAATGACAACAATGCAAAGTGCAAAGGACAAGAGGAAGGGATTAGGAATATTTTGTTATCATACTTGCACTGCGAAGTGGTACAGTGTTACCTAAAAGTGGACTCGGACTGGTTGTAAAAGCATATTGTAAACCCTAAGGCAACCACTAAAATAAGTGAAAAAAAAGTATAACCAATATGTTAAGAAACGAAAGAAAACAGAATCATATAAAATGCTTAATTACAACTACAGATAGCACAGAAAGAGTGGAAGACAAAAACAGGAGCAAAACACAAGGGAATGAACAGAAAATCGTTAAAAAAAAAAAGGTCAATATTAATCCAACTCTACCAATAATCACTTTAAATGGCAATGGTCTAAATACACCAATCAAAGAGGTCGTCAGAGTGAACAAAAACAAGACCCCACCAACTACATGTTGTCCACACTTCAAATATAAAGACAGAAATAAAGAGATGAAGAAAAATACACCATGCTAACACTAACCAAAGAAAGCTGAAGCAGCTACATTAATTTCAGACAAAGTGGAGTTCAGAACAAGAAAAATTATGAAGGATAGAGGCATTAATTACATAGTGATAAAGGAGTCAATTCTCCCAGAGGACCGAGCAGTCCTTAAGGCAGATGTGCCTAACAAGAGAGCATCACAGTATGGCCATAAAAAGATGTGAAAAATTTAAAAGAATACAAATTACACAATGTATGCTCTCAGACCATAATGGAATCAAACTAATTCAGAAACAAAAAGATAGCTGGGAAAATCCCCAAACACTTAGAGATTAAACAACACACTTCTAAATTACACTTGGATCAAGAAGAAATCTTGAGAAATTTAAAAATAGCTTAAACTGAATGAAAATTATGATACAGCTTATCAAAATTTGTGGGATGTAGTGAAAACAGTACTTGGAAGGTAACTTATAGTATTAAATGTGTATATAAGAAAAGAAGACAGATCTCAAGTCAGATCTAGAAGCTATCCTCCTAGCTTGGAAATGGCTGCCTTCTTGTGTGTCCTCACATGGAGGAGAGGAAGCCCTCTGTGTCTCCTCCTCCTCTTAACAAGGGCACCAGTCCTATTGAACTAGGGCTCCACTCCCAGGACTAACTACCTCTTAAAGAACTCTATCCCTAAATACAGTTACACCGGGGGTGGTTAGGGCTTCAAACATACGAATACATAAAATATTTTTTATTTTTTTTTTTTTTTTTTTTTTAAGATTTTATTTATTTATGAGAGAGAGAGAGAGAGCGAGCACAGGCAGACAGAATGGCAGGCAGAGGCAGAGGGAGAAGCAGGCTCCCTGCAGAGCAAGGAGCCCGATGTGGGACTCGATCCCAGGACGCTGGGATCATGACCTGAGCCGAAGGCAGCTGCTTAACCAACTGAGCCACCCAGGCGTCCCCATAAAATATTTTTTAAAAAAAGACAGAGTCTAGAACTGATAAGCCTAGAAATGGTAAATTAAAACTGAAAATTAATTAATTGTAAAGGTTTCAAAATCTAGAGACAACCGTCCAAATAAAAAGGTAAAAGGAGGGGCGCCTGGGTGGCTCAGTGGGTTAAAGCCTCTGCCTTCGGCTCAGGTCATGATCCCAGGGTCCTGGGATCGAGCCCCGCATCGGGCTCTCTGCTCAGCAGGGAGCCTGCTTTCTCCTCTCTCTCTGCCTGCCTGTGATCTCTGTCTAATAAATAAATAAATAAATCTTTAAAAAAAAAAAAAAACAAAAAAAAAAAAAAAAAGGTAAAAGGAATGATAAAGGTTTACCTCGCAGGAACAGCCTGAGGTGAGAAGAGGCCGGAAAGAGAAAATTACTTCTCATCACTTTTCATTAGCTCTGCACTATTTGATTGTTTAACTAAGTATTAACAAAGTATTATACTTTGATTTTAAAAACATAAGACAATTTCAAAGAGAAGTACCAAAAAATACAGTTGAAATACCTTCTCACCACGATTACAAGGAAAAGGAAATCTGTGCTTGGATAAGGAGCACCTAGTAATCTTGCTTTCACATGACCATCAGTTACATCTCCCATCAGCTTCCCTTTCCTTTACCATCAACCTTTTCCTTTTCAAAGACACACGCAATGGATCTTGACACTGATCACGGTAAGGAAAAGTGGGAAACAGTCACTGTCCAGCAACCTGGGGCTACTTAAACAAACAAACAAACAAAAAAACAAAAAAAAACCATGACATATTCACATGACAGAAGGCTGGGCAGTGGCCGCACACTACATAAAATGCCTGGTGTTTCTCCTGCTCCAGTAGGAGCGGGCATGTATTTTTATTTCCATTTGTATTTCTTCCTTCAGTAACAGGGGCACGTTTCAGGAGAAAAACTCAGCTGAGACCCCTACAGGAGGCACATCAGAAATAAGGGGGGGGGCAATGTGCCACGTGGGCCCCAGGCCAGGGGCAGGGCCATGTCAGCTGGATCTATGGATCCCCCATTTAATCAAGTCACTGTGATGGGAACAGCGTTTCCCTCCATCACCCAGCAGGAGGGACACCAAGATCCCATCCGTCTCACATCAGAGCTCATGTCCTTAAACTCACGTGATCCTGGACACATGTGACCTTGAAGTTCATCCATACGTTAACTGAAAAACACTCCACAGAGGTATGTATGGAATTAAATTTCTGTGAGGTAAAAATGTCACCCACAACCCTCAGGAGTGGAGAACTCTGGAAAGCAAGAGCCTAACATTTCAGTAAGTAGCTATTAAAAATGACAGGTTTTTAAACCTTTGATTATCTGTATTTTTTCTATGATAAACAATATTACCAAAATAATTAAACACAACACTAACTGTAGGAAGTAATTTTGAAGGCAAAAGCTTTAACTTAGTTGAGGTTACGATGTTCCGTGTGTGAAACACTTGGTGTACCTGCGCCCAGTGGAAGAGGCAAGTAGCGCAGGAATTACCAGAGGGTGCCCGAGAATCAAAGGGGCTGGCAGAGCCCACTCTGGTCCAACAACTGCAATCCGTTACATACCCTGGAGATATGGAGTTAAACACTAGGTGTCCCTACCCTCCTAAATGCCTCTTGCTTTTATGTGCCCCACTGCTTAAAATAAAAATCACTCACAAATCCATACATACACTCTGAGAACACGTAATCATCACTTGCGTATGGTTGGGCTGGAATAAATCAGCTCTGCACATAAACATAGACCTGTTATGTGTGTTCTTTACAGTAAAATCCTCTAAGTAAGGGGCCGCCAGGATGGCTTAAGTCGATTAAGTGTGCAACTCATGATTTCAGCTCAGGTCACGATTTCATGGGTCTGCGGGGAGTCTGCTTGGGATTCTCTCCCTCTGCCCCCCACCCTAGCCGGCTCTGCTCACACGTGCACACACTCTAATACATAAATAAATCCTTTTAAAAAATCCTCTAAGTAAGAACCACAAGGCCAGGTTATTTCTGTCAGCATCTACATCATCAATTGGTTCCATGAGATGGAGAGAGAATCGGCGCAGCCCTTCTACACAGCCTTCTAATCTTTACAGAGTTGAGAGTGTTCTTTTATGCCAGCTAGACATAAGTAAGGCAAGCAAGTAAACTTACCCACGATCATAGCAGTCGGCCCAAGTTCACCAACAACACCCTTGGGCCACGGATGCTGGAGGGACTGAGCCAGAAAAGTTAAACCATGTGAATCTGACAGAAAGAACACAATTCAGGATTAAAGCATGAAATAAAACCCAAATGACAAATGCAAAACTCAGCAACATACTCTTTCAGCTCCTGCTTTTGCTGGAAGGTCATGAGAGACCTAACGGGGCAGGAAAGCAACGTGAACAAGTGAAGGACAATGGAGCTCAGAAAGAAACACCTCTGATCGTTTCCACGGTCCATGGCGGTCTCTTCTCGCATTTCCCTCCTAATAAACAGATCTTCTGAAAAGGGTCTAAAACGGTAAACATTGACTTTGTTTGGGTAATATCTTTCAGTTATAAACTTCTGGACTTCAGAAAATTTAACTCCATGTTAAGAAGAAATTGAGGACAGTTTTTCGGCATTCTCGTAAAAGCAAACGAGCAGGTCAGGACTTCAAAGCCTGTCACACACCCACCAGGGTTTAATCAATAGCCCGAGTCCCTGCCTGCATGTGGGGAAAGGTTTGTATGACTCACATCAGTACGACAAGATTCGTATAAATAAGACAGTTTAAAAGAAACACCTATTGGTGAGAATCCACTCACTTTCCATTCCTTGATGATCTTTTCCTTGTAAGAACATTGGCCAGAGAGTGAGTGCTGGATTGAGTCTCCTGGAGAAGGATGCGGACTTCGTACTCAATCTTGATTTCTCTACAGAATCAACGTTCTTATTCTCCTTGGGTGATATGTAACGAGCAAAGTTCTTCGCAACCAGATCGTCATTAACACAGACCTGCACAATTTGCAACATTTCATGAACAAGACATTTAAATAGAGTCAAGTGACTGTTCAGAAAATATCCCAAACTTAACCCCAAATTTCAGTCTTCAGAAAATATTATTTTATAGAACATAATCTGATAGAAACTGATCTCTTGACTCCTGCTCTGGTAATGGTGGACTAGATACTTCTGGCCAACGCTCCTGGTAAGAAAAACAGTAGAATCTGTATAAAACATTAAAAAATATCTTCTTGAACAAAGCATCAGGGAGCTAACATGACTTTGCCAGGCAAAGATCTAGGGGGATGACAAAGACAAAGCACCAATCACAAAAGGAAACCTGATAAAAATTCAAAATTTAAATTTTAGACTATCAAAATTTAAAAATTTCTACTCTTCAAAAGACACTATTAAGAGATGAAGGGCAATCCACAGACAGGGAGAAAATATTTTTAAAATCTGGATGGAAATGTATCCAGAATATATTAAGAGCTCTCAAAATGCAATAAGAAGATGATAAACAACCCAACTAAAAAATGGGTAAAATACAATGGGATATTACTCAGCCATAAAAAGATGAGATTCTTTATTTGCAACATGAATGGACCTAGAGGATAGTATGCTAAGTGAAATAAGACAGAGACAAACACCGTATGATTTTACTTATATGTGGAATGTAAAAAAACAAATGAATAACAAGCAAATAGCACAACAGACCCATAGATACAAAGTACTGATGGAGGCCAGAGGGGCGGGGGGGGGGTTTGTGCAAAAGGGTGAAGGGGAGAGGGAGATAAGGTCTCCAATGTGGAAGGAGTAAGTCAGGGGAAATAAAAGGTACAGTGGGAAAAGAGTCAATGGTATTATAATGGTGTGTGATGAGCACAGCATAAGGCACAGACTCATCCAACCACTCTGTTGTACACCTGGAACATCCTGTACCAACTTTACTTCCATTTAAAAAGTTTTCTGGGGGCGCCTGGGTGGCTTGGTGGGTTAAAGCCTCTGCCTTCGGCTCAGGTCATGATCCCAGGATCCTGGGACTGAGTCCTGCATCGGGCTCTCTGCTCTCTCTCTCTGCCTACTTGTGATCTCTCTCTGTCAAATAAATAAATAAAATCTTTAAAAATAAAAAAAAAATAAAATAAATAAAATAAAAAGTTATCTAGGGCACCTGGGTGGCTCAGTGGGTTAAGCCTCTGCCAGTCCCTGGTTCATAAAAGAGAAGTCTTCTTCAAGACTTCTTCAAGTCTTCTTCAAGGGTGGCTCAGTCAGTTAAGCGTCTACCTTCGGCTCAGGTCATGATCCCAGGGTCCTGGGATCGAGCCCCACATCAGGCTCCCTGGTCAGTGGGGAGACTGCTTCCCCCTCTCTCTCTCTGCTTCTCTGTCTACTTGTGATCTGTGTCAAATAAATAAATAAAATCTTTAAAAAAAAGTTATCCAAAAAATGGGGTAAAGATCTGAATGCACACTTCATCAAAGATACATAGATTGCAAATAGCATATGGAGAGATACTCACTGTCGTAAGTCATTAGGGAAATGCAAAGTTAAACCACAATGATACCTCAGCACAGGCCCATCAAAGTAGCCATCCAAGCCCTGAAGAGGACATGAAGGAACCGGGGCTCTCATCCACTGCTGACCGGACTGTACAACAGTTCACCGCTTTGGAAAACCCATCTGGCAGCCTCTTACTAAGTACAACCCCATCCAGAAATTTGATTCCTAGGCACTCACCCAAGAAAAATGAATGCAAGGGTTCACAGGAAGAACTATACATGAATATTCATACCAACTTCATTTATAACAGCCTCAAACTGGCCACAACTCAAATGTCCAAAAGACGTGAACAGGTAAATCCGCTGTAATACATCCAGACAAGAGAAGAGTATTTGACAATACAAGGGAAACGTGGACACATGCTAAAAATAACTTCGCTGCATGAAAGAAGCCAGGCCAAGAAGAGAAAAACCCTGGGAAATCCTTGTGCTTCCTTAGGGAGCTGGAAAAGGATGCCAGGCACCGTTTTTCTGGCAGTGATGACCTCACACGTCCGCCGTATGTTTCTCTGCTAACAAGTGTACCCTCTGCACTCCCTCACCCGAAGTACAGTCACAGAGGGAAAGGGACCTACTTGAAAAGCAAGAAGAGAGAAGGAGGTCAACAGAGAAGTTTAAAGATGTTTCACCAGACTGGTCCAATTGCCAGCATTTTGTTATTTTTACCAAACTGCAAAATAAGGAATGAAAAGCCACAGGTGAAACGGACAAGGCCATGGGGGATCCCAAAATGCCCCACAAAGAATAACAAACGAATCTTACTGCAAATGAGTAACATCATCACAGTGAAGGAGGGAGGGGAAGAAAAGAACTAACCTAAGTAACTTCAGAATACTGTTTTGGCTGCATGCTTTTTGCCTTTAGACAAACTTCTTTTTCACAAGAATTGTGAGTTAGCAATTCTGGAATTACTTTATGTGAATATTAGGATTAATCAAATTAAGTATATCTAACAAGTGCAGGTTTCTCACTGCTAGAAACATGTATCAAGATAAGTAACGGGGAATGAGAGGTACAAGAGCTCCTTTTTTTTTTTTTTTGGAGAGAGAGAGAGAGAGAGAGAGAGAGAGAGAGAATATGAATGAGTGCACACATGCATGAGCCGGGGAGGAGAGAATCTTAGGCAGGCTACATGCCCAGCATGCAGCCTGACAGGGGGCTTGATCCCTCAACCTTGAGCCAAAATCAAGAGTCAGACGCTGAGCCACCCAGATGCCCTGATACCAGAGCTCTTAATACATGTAGACAGACAGATACACGTACAGACAGACAGATCCAGGCATCAATCTGTGGGGCCACGGGTGACTCCACATACATGTACTTCCTGTCTGCGGAGAGCGCCTACAACCACTGACACCCTAGCAGCAGGAAGCACATCTCATGCCCCAGTTTTGCTATCTGGACACCACTCTTCTTGGAGAAGTGGTTGATTCTAGGGCTGGGCTGGAGAACAACAAAATTAGCCTAAAGCATCTGTGGCACCAAAAATAGCAAGTTCCCAGCGATGATGGGGCACAGTGAAAGGACACGCAAGCCACTTTGAAGAAGCTGCTAATGGCCAAATCTGGGACGATCTGAACAAGAAAATGATGACAGTAATGGAGTCTATTCCCTAAAGTAACACCAACAGCCAAGAGTCTACACTGAGATATATTACCGAACCAATTAGTAAATGGGGGCAATGGGCCAGTTCTTCTGTACAGAGTTCCAACTGAAAATGGAGAAGGCCTGGGGCGCCTGGGTGGCGCAGTCCATTAAGCGTCTGACTCTTGGTTTCACATCGGGATCCCGGGGTCACGAGATCAGCCCTGCGCGGCTCTCCGGCTCTCCGCACTTGGCATGGGGCCTGCTGAGATTCTCTCCCTCGCCCCTCCCCTCGCTCCAAAGAAACAAAACACAAAAACCTTCCATGCTGTGTGAATGGCATTCTTTTCCTTGGTGTTTACTTTGTTTTGTTAAAATAAAAAATTTAAATAAGGATAAAACATTTCTGAAATACAATTCTTTCACTCACTTTTTCATTTTTTATAGTTGCATAAAGGTAGACCTCAAAAGCATCTTCTTCCACAGCACATAATTTGGCTTCCACCTGGGTGGTTGCTAAATAACATAAGTGAAAAAAAATAAATCAGCTGATACTGAAGCAATTATATTTCACCTAATTACCTGTGCTGACCACCTGGGGTCACACAGGGTCACCAGAGCTAACAGCTGGAGCAGCAGCCTTCTGCGGGTGGGTGAGCAGAGGAGAAGGCTTCTGGCATGAAGTCGGCACATACCCTCCACCCCCAACTCCACAGCTGCTGCCTCCCGCCCCCCCACAACACCTCCGCCAGCTGTTCTTGACCCTCTTCCCTTCCAGCGACTCCCAAATCCACTTCCCGCTCAGTCTTTCACCTGAGTCCATTGCTCCCTGCAAACACCCCATCAGAGTGCTCAGCGACTCGGAACCCAGCACCCACACAGCAGCTCTGGGCACGGGGACCCTGCAAGCCCTGGGCTCAGTCCTTCACTTCACAGCTGTCCCTGTCCCATCTCGGGAAGGAGGCTGGACTCAGAGAAGGCTGTAGGGAAGCCGCAGGGCAGGATGCCATCCCAGGCGCTCTGCTCCCTCCAGCACACCCCGCCCCTCCCGGGCTCACAAGGTCCGAGACTCCAAATCCAGAGGCCCTCCCAAGCTCCCATTTCCCCCAGGGCCCAGCATCAGGCTACTCTGGCCAGAGAGCGGGGTGGTGGAGGAGACGAGCCAGCACCCCAGGCATTTCACGCCTGCTTCTCCTCAGAGCAGCCCAGACGGCCAGTACAGGGACTTGGCCCCTGCCTGCCGGGCGGTCAGGACAGATGGCCTGAATTACAGGTGAAGCTGTAATTCACTGGCAGCAACAGACAATACAGACAGCACGCTGCACAGCTGCTCTGCGACAGGCTGCACATCCGAAACTGGCAATAATGCTCACGACACCATCAGTATCCACGAGAAAAGCTCAGCTTCCATCACCTGTTGCTGTGGGAAAAGCACGTGCATTTGGCAGGGCGCGGCTCCCATGCAAACGAAGGGCCCCTCAGCCAAACAGCCCCTTTCTCCTTTCAACTCTCAATACTGACGTCCACACCCACCCCCAAACTTTCACGGATGCAGAGTCGCTGTGACACAGGGCAGGAGGAGTCCCAGGTAACAGATGAACCCCCATGAGGAGGGGCCAGAAGCCGAATGTGCCCATCTCAAACCCCCTCGCCGATGGAAAGACAAAGCGGCCTGGGCATCAGTTCAAAGCAGGCTGCGACAACAATGCACCTGCCTCACCTTTCAGGATGTTCTGGAAGTACTGAGTAGCTGCGCTGTCCCACTTCTTGGTAGGTCTGGAACGGTAAACAGATGCAACCTTACCAAATAAAAATCAGAGGCTAGGACACAGACACCACCTCGTGAGCCATGCGCTGGCCGTTCCTAACATTACTTGCTGAATATATGATGCCTGGCTCCACTTTGGGGGGGGGGGGGACAATCCCACCCGCACCCCACAACGGGCTCCCCTCACCACTGCCGCCTGCACCCAGCGCAGAGACTAAGAACAGGTTCATCCTGGGGCTTCCTGAGCAGCCCGTGCCTGTCACCAGGGCATCACCTGTCCCAGCACTGGTGTCCCCAGTGACCCAGGACCTGTCTCTCTCCACAGCCAAACACAAGCCCCTGGGGGCAGGGATGCTGTACATGCAGGCTGGCACAGAGCAAGGGCTCCGCCTGTGATGGGGAGACCAACAGGGAAAGAGAGGCTGTGGGAGAGCCACCGGCCAGTGTCTACTGGTACACCTGCCCTGCCGACACCTGTCCTCTGTCTCCCACATTCTATCATCTTGCCCCTCCCTGTGCTCTGGGAAGGAAATCATAAGAAGAGTTGTAGGCAGTGGAAGATGAAGAGAAACCAGTATTCTGAAGCAAGGAGCAATAATAACATAATAAATGGAAGAGTGCTAGGTTTTTACATTTCTCTGCTGGTTTGATTTCCCAGATCAGTGATGGTTTGATGCCACCATCATCCTCGAAGGGCTGCTTTAAGGATTAAATGAGGTAATACATAAAGCCCCTAGCCCCACGCCTAGGTGAAGGTATTATTTTATTTTATTAAAAAAGATATTAAGCACATTACTTCAAGAAAATCACAAAGGATTCCTAAAAGTTAAAAAAATTACATCAGCGGTTCTAAACCCTTGGTACACACAAAGAAATTACCTAGTTAGTGGAAAAAAAAAAAAAAAAGAAGTGAATTTCTAATAAGAAAATGGACCAAGGGGCACCTGGGTGGCTCAGTGGGTTAAGCCTCTGCCTTCGGCTCAGGTCATGATCTCAGGGTCCTGGGATGGAGCCCCGCGTCGGGCTCTCTGCTCAGCAGGTAGCCTGCTTCCCCCTTCTCTCTCTCTGCCTGCCTCTCTGCCTACTTTCTCTCTCTCTCTCTCTGCCAAATAAATAAATAAATAAATAATCTTTAAAAAAAAGAAAAAAAGAAAATGAACCAAGAGAAAAATCAATCTAGGTTATCCAAAGGTAAACCATTCATTCAGTAAAGGTGTCTGTCTCTCTCTCTCTCACACACACACATACACAAATAACCCCATGAAGAGATACCTAACTTCACAAGTTAGAAAAATACAAATTAAAACAAAATACCATCTTCACACAGCAAACAAGCAAAAGTGGAAAAGCTCGATGACCGGCAACACTGCACGGAAAAGCAGTGCTCTCTGTACCCCAGTGATGGGAGCATACACCGCTAGTCCTTCTGGAGGGCCACTCGGCAAAATCTATCACCCCCGTAATCCACATATTGAGACAGACATTCTAGATGAACTACCCACACGAAGGGACGACATGTGTCTGCACGGAGGGTGTGTCCACAGCTGGAGAATGTGGTCATGCAGAGGGGGCGAGAACGAGGGGGGCCACTGAGGGAGAGCTGGGCATGGACAGACTGGCACCAGAGTGGGGGGTGAGCAGCTGGCTGTTCTGGAAGAGGGACAGGTGGGAGGCAGGGGTTGCTGCTATGTGAGGGACCCACTTTTCCAGAGTCTCTGAGGGCAAAGAGGGTATGGGGGGGCCGCAGGGAACCTGGCAGGGCACGCTGGCGTCAGCCGGGACAAGCAGGCTCAGCGTCTATTACTGAAGCTTCTCGGGCCGGCCACAGGGCCCTGTGTTTACCATCTCAAGGGAATGACAGGTGCTGGGGGGAGCAGGGAGGGGCAATGGAGGGTCTCCATAGATCCTGCAAAAGCATTCATAAGAGGGCTGCCTTCCAAGTTCAGAGAACAAAATGCAACATCACCAGGACATGCAAGTTAAGGCGGAACTGTGGTGTGCCCAGTGTTTCTTCCCTTAACCCCACAGTCCTGGGGGGAGGGGAGGGCTCCCCAGGACATCAGGTAGCACTGAGTCCAGACAGCCATACCCCTGACACAGCAGTGCCCAGTGTGGGGGACCCTGGTGGGTCCGGCACAAACACTGGCAAAGTGGCCCAAGACTAGGAAAATGGGGCAAAGACAGGGGCTGGCCGGTTATGTGCATTTGGGCATGCATGTCCGCATCTCCACACCATGTTTTATTTGGACTGATGCATATGCTTACAGGAATGTGCAGCGCACAGTGGTCTGCAAACACTGCAGCTGGCTCTCCAGAGAGGAACAGCTGCATACAGCAATAGCCAGTTACGTTCACCCCCAAAGCGTGACAGTAGAAGGCAGTAAGTACGTGCACTAGCGAAGAGCTTCAGCACACTCTTGGGTTAAATCTGCAAATGACGCTGTAGGTTCTAATTTTCATGAAGGCTCCACACAAATGAACCCATATAAAGCACTGAATGAGGTCTCCAAGTTCAGAGCCTGAACAGGTCCCAGAGGCCTGGGGGGGGGGGCCTGGAGAAAAATGCAATGGACTTTTTTTTTTTTAATGCTCCATGATCCTGTGTTCCAGCCTTTCTCTTTACAGTTAATTTATTACTTTTTGCAAATTAAAAGAAGTTGCAGAGCCCAGACCTCAGCCCCCCTCTAAGGCCCCTCGACGGCAGTCTGGAAGGGGGGGTACCCCGGGAGCTCTGCTCAGAGCCAGGGGCGACACACCGACTCCGAGGTCTCCTAAAGAACAGAGGTTCCTGGAATCTCTTAGCGCTTCTCCAGGGGAACGGATTCCACACAAACCTCAGACACTCAATTTCAGACTTCTGTCCTGCTCCAGCATCCCCCACCAGCGGTACTTACACGATCTCAGCGCTGTCTTCACAGAAGTCAATGTGCAACGTGACAGGCTTCGTGCAGTACAGCCTGAATTTCTTCGCTCGGTAGGGAAGCCGCATAAAGGTTTCAACTGCGACTCTGATGCTTCACAGTGAAACAGAAACATTTCCTTTACAAAGCGGACTTCTATAGAGCAGATTTCTTTAAAGTACACTCCCCTGGTGACTGACATACCTAAAACACACCCAAACCACTTCTTTCTGTTTCTAATACAGCAACCAGCAGCAGAGAGAGCGGGCAGACCTGTGCCCCAGTCTTACTCTTCTCGTGTATAAAAGCATAAGATGGGGGCACCTGGGTAGCTCAGTGGGTTAAGCCTCTCCCCTCAGCTCAGGTCATGATCTCAGGGTCCTGGGATCGAGCCCGGCATGGGGCTCTCTGCTCGGCGGGGAGCCTGCTTCCGCCTGCCTCTCTGCCTACTTGTGATCTCTGTCAAATAAATAAATAAAACCTTAAAAAAAAAAAAAAAGTACATGCATGGATATTCAGAGTATCTTTGGCGTTAAAACTTCATGGTATGGGGGCTGAAGTATTAGAAAAATCATGTCTAACAAAGCTTCTCAGACTAAGAAACACTAGGAAATAATGAACAAGTCTGTGAAGCCAATTCTACTTAAGATTTTTAAATTACAAATTTTAATACACAACCCCAATGAGTTTCTATAAATGAGCATATATGTTTTATTTTTTGAGATGTTTTTATAGTTAGTATTTATCAGTTCTGTACCAAAAAAGGGGCTGAGATTTGATAAGTCTGTTGCTCAGCACTTTTATTTCCATTCTTCAGGCCAATGACAGCCCGCCTGTGCATACTATTTAGACAGAAGCGGATCTGGAAACCCTGAATGGGCAGCCTCGCCACCTCGTCTCCACAGTTCAGAAAAAGGTGCCGGTCCTGACTGCCCCTCAAGCCTCCCTGCACATTACTTAATCACGGGCTTCTCTTGCCCAAAACTCCGAATACTAAAAATCTTCCCAAACAATTAAACACATTTACTTTGATAACAAGACCGGTTATAAAGATGCAGAATCACAAGCTACAAAGGCATCTACTTTTTTTCTTAAGTATCTGCGAATTCCCAATGTTTGAGAAGTCCTTCTGCCTTGAAATGCTTTACTCTTACTACAAAAATACTCTTTTGGAAGAAGGGTCCTCATGTTAATTATTAAACTGATATCCTGGGGTGCCTGAGTGGCTCAGTTGTAAAGCATCTGCCTTTGGCTCAGGTCATGATCCCAGAGTCCTGGGATCGAGCCCCACACTGGGCTCTCTGCTCCGCAGGAAGCCTGCTTCTCCCTCTCCCACTCCCCCTACTTCTGTTCCCTCTCTGTGTCTCTCTCTGTCAAATAAATAAAATCTTTAAAAAAAAAAAATAAAAAAATAAACTGATATCCTCTTACTCTGGAACAGGAAACTATGTAAAATTATCACAAACACAAAGGCTGACGTGTTGCTGGTGTTTTCTAATGAACTGTTAATGGGTGGTCCTGGAGGCAAGGAGGGCCACTTCGGAACCATTTCCCCACCTTCTGTGGCTGTGGTCATGCCCTCACTCTGCTAAGGAAGAACACCAGGACTATTTGCACAGGCGCTCTGCTCCCTCTACTTGAGGCTGCACCAGCACCCACCCCTTCTGTGGGGACCAGATGACCTTCTGCCTCCAGGTAGGGTGTTTCCTGCAGCACAGCCTCCAGGAGGATGCATTCCATCACAGGAACACGCTGGGAGGGGAGGCCAGGTGAGCACATGCTCTGCCCAGGAAGGACGGTGGAAGGAGGGCCCAGCTGCCTGGGTCCTCACTGCGACCACCAGCCCCTACACTGACTTCCTGTAGAACTGGAATCTGCAACTGTCCCCATGGGAAACTAAGAACATTCTAGTTCTCTGACCTCTATCCTCTCACTGTGAAAACAGACCTTCTCCTTCAAAACGGATATTCGTCTCCCTAAAAAGTGTAAGAAGAAATAAATACGTACGTACTTTTTAGATTTCACAGGGATGTACTTGGCAAAATCCACAAGGAAACATTCTGCCAGGTAATGGTCGGCCGAAGACACGATGGACTTAATAACAGCCCTGCACCAACACCTCAGTTCCTGACAATACACCACACAGACCTACAGAACAGAAACCTTGGTGTTAAAACCCCCCGTCGAGGGAGAGAACAAAAAGACAACCCCAAACCATCTCTGCCCACATTCTACCTTCCAGAAGAGGAAAGGCGGGGGAGGCGGCTGGGGCTGCCCATGCTGACCCCTGCCGGGCAGTAACCAGAGCACAGGGCAGCCAGGTCCTATTTCAGGCTCTCCTCCCCTAGTCATTCTGACTCCTTAAATAAGGACAGGCTTTGGAAAGTAAAACAAGGAAAATGCATTGTTTTGCCTTCTTAAGTCCGAAAACAAAGCTTATGAATGGGTGTCGAGCACGCGGCCAGACCCCTGTGAAATCCCCACCCAGGCTCACCTTGGCTCCAGGACAGGCTGTCTTCTGCACCAGCATGTGCCCAGCACCTACAACTGTGCTTGCTGTGCACGGAGCCTCCAACAACTACTCGATGAATGACTCCAGAAATCAGTGCGTGCCTGCAGCCCCACTCTAGGGAAACTGCCCCGCAGCAGTGACAGCCACCTGACCAACCCACCGTCCCACGGGGCTGCTAGGCCAGAGCAGACTCGACCGTGACCCAGACCAGCAAACCAGACACCAACCACAGGCTCAGAAAGGGCCCCGTGGGGAGAAAGCTGTGTCCAACTGGGAAGAAGCCAGCAGAGAGGAGACTGCCACGCTCGGGAACTGAACGCGGACGCCACAGAGCGGCCACTTTGCAAGGGATGGGCTCTTGGGAGCCTCCCATAATTCCAAAGTCAAATAACCGCAGAGAAATCTTGCCAAAGGGTGGAGGGTTAAAACAGATAACAGTTCAGCTGGCTTTGAACTGGTGGCGTATAGGGCTTCCACCAACCCAACAGGGGGCAATTAATGCATCAAGAACAATGAGGACAGCTGATGGAATATAATAAAAGCCTTGAGTTCAATACAGTCCTTTAAAAAATGAAGAGGACAGAAAAACCACACAGACCTCTGGACACAGAAGGCATGTGAAAGCGACCGTTGGGAAGGTTAAACAGAAGGGCTGTTCAGGCCGTGCTGGTCACAGGATGGTGCCTCATCTCCAGAAAAAGCGGACGGGCACCCCCTGGAGGCAGGACTCGGGCGTCGCCCTCCGAATCTGCTGGGCTGTGCCAACAGTGCAATCACCTCCCAGTGCCACGTAAGGTGAAGCTCAACAGCCCAGGCACTCTGAGGGGTAGAAACCCGACCTTAAGTCTATCCAAAGCTTTATCCACATAAAGTAGGGAGGGTGGAAAGTTCAGCACCATCACAGGGAGGCACTCAGGCTCTCCAAAATGTGGAGTATTTTAAAAGGACAACTGACTGGATTTCCTCACTTCAACAAGTCAATGGTATGGAAAAAAATAATGTTGTTAATGAAGATTTTTTTTGAAAGGGGAGGGGTGTTCCAATTATTTCTAATGTTTCTCATAGTTTATAAACGTTTCCCAGTAGAAAAATTCAAACTCTTCTAAAAAGTGAATGACTTGCAGAGAGAATCAGACAACGGGCCCAGGAGCCAAGGCAGCAAGAAAGGAAGAAGGGGCCGTGACGTGAGGCAAGGAAAATGAACAAGTGTGACTCGGCCACAGTCATGAGCCACAAAAGGGAGGCACTGGCCGTGGACTGAAAACTCCCGTGCCCCCTCAGCCAAGGTCCCCATACCCATGGCAGATCTAGACTACATTCAGAAGAGCCTCTGGTTCCCTGCCCTAGGAGAATGGCCCGATGCCTGAATTTGGATGACATTCTATCTCCTACTGCCCCACTAGAATCTTCTACAACCTCTGCTTTCCAAAACCAGCCCGAATCTTGTGCAGCCAAAAGAACCTAACACAAGGCAGTGATTATGAGCAATTAAAACACCCTAAAAGCTTTTGCCACCAAAATGTGTACATTTTAAGCAGTATTTCAAGACACAGTGCTTAAAACACATGTAGATACATACCTGCCCTTCTTCCAACATTAATGGTTTTATTTCTATATCTTGACACATGTTATTATAGAAGTCATTCATGGCACTATTTAGTTTTTGATAATCAACTTCATGATCTAAAAAAGGACTACATCCTTTTATAATAACCCAGAAGCATCCTGGATCTTCAATCTGTAAAAATTTTAAAAGACAAACAAAACAATGCCTGGTTTAAAAAACAGAACCATAAAATAATGAACCTTAGAGGCATGATAACTGTTAATAATTTAAGTGGTCTAACAAATTCCAGGTGAGCTCTAGATGAGTACCTGTCTTTTACAGTCAGACCAAAGGTAAAAGATAAAAAAAAGACTGTCAATATAGATCAAATCATCACACTGTACACCTTAAACTCATACAATTTTATTATATTTATATTATATATTATATTTCAACTCAGCCGGATAACAGGTAAAAGATGCAAAGTTAAAAAAAATATAACCAATAACCAGTAATTTTTTAAATTATGTGCTGTGACTCAAAAAAGCAGAGATAAATGTCCTGCATCTCCTGTGTTTTTTTTATTTTATTTTTTTAAAGACTTTCTTTATTTGAGAGAGAGAGCTCATGAGGGCAGAAGGAGAGGGAGAAGCAGCCTCCCTGCTGAGCAGGGAGCCTGGTAGGGGACTTGATCCCAGGATCCTGAGATCATGACACAACACAAGCCAAAGGCAGATGCTTAAACGACTGTACCCCTAGGCACCCCATCTCCTATATTTTTAAAATATTCATGATAAAATACAAAAGCAAGGTTTCATGTTTGCAATATGCTGTGTCTTTGTAAGAAGGAGAGGTAAATATGAATACATGTATATTCTGTTCATAAAATAAAAAAATAAATGATGGCAGAAAAACCAAAACAAATACAAGTTATGACCTACAGGAAGCCAAGAATAGAAGAGATGGGGATGAAAGTCAGACTTCTCTGAATGTATCTCGATATAGATCAGTGTCATTAGAAACCAAGATTTTCATCGTTAGAAGGTACAGATGTAAAATAAAAAGTTAAATTTGACTTGAAGATATCAATAAGAACTCAAGACATTCCAAAGGTATTTATTTCCTAACTCTGCTTACTGAAAGGGCCTAAAAGCAATGACATCTTAAGACTTCCAGTCCTGGGCGCCTGGGTGGCTCAATGGGTTAAAGCCTCTGCCTTCAGCTCAGGTCATGATCTCAGGGTCCTGGGATCGAGTCCCGCATTGGGCTTTCTGCTCGGCGGGGAGCCTGCTTCCCCCCCTCTCTCTGCCTATTTGTGATCTCTCTCTGTCAAATAAATAAATAAAATCTTAAAAAAAAAAAAAAAGAACAGAACAATTCAAGAAAACTTGTCTTAAAAAAAGAAGACTTCCGGTCCTAGGTACCAAGTGGCAGGGGAACAGATGTTCACGTTAATATTCTATTTTTCTGGGACGCCTGGGTGGCTCAGTTGGTTAAGCGGCTGCCTTCGGCTCAGGTCATGATCCCGGCGTCCTGGGATCGAGTCCCACATCGGGCTCCTTGCTCGGCAGGGAGCCTGCTTCTCCCTCTGCCTCTGCCTGCCTCTCTGTCTGCCTGTGCTCACTCGCTCTCTCTCCCTCTGTCTCTGACAAATAAATAAATAAAATCTTTAAAAAAAAAAAATATTCTATTTTTCTAAATAGCTGAATACTTTTAGAATAGTTGGGGGAAGAAAGAACAGTGGGCCACTCTCATTCCAGGTCATGGCAGAGTGGTTTACATGGACTAACCCACTTGCAAGTAACAATGATCAGCCCAGGAAAAAATACAAAATAATAAACAGGCGCTGAAGAGAACAGAAACCACAGGGACTGAATGCTTTGCCAAGAGGATCGGCCTTGGGGGAGATCCACATTTCCTCTCAGCTTTTCCAGTCCAGGAGGAAGGGCTGCAACTCAGGCAGAAAGCCACTGTGTGTGCGGCTTGAGGAACCAGAGAAGGGAGTTTGGGGGCTACAAAAGCAGCTGTACGTTGAGGGGAGAAATTCTGAAAGAGCCCCAAGGGGGAGAGCCAAGTCCTCAGCGAGCCTGCACGGCACAGTGAGCCCCACAGTCCAGGGGAGAGCGACCCTGAGAAGGTGGACAGAAACACCACAGTTTTGGCTGCTGCCCCTGAGAACGGCAAACTCGTAGCATGTCACCTCCCCAAACCTCTGCACAGAGAGGCCCTTCCCGGGGATGACACTCACCCCCCCTAAAATGCCTGCCTGGGGAAGCCCAAGGCCACCAGGAGAAGCCACCCTCTGTTCTAGGCGGCTTTGGACAGAGACCCTTGACCTTCCTGTGAGCATTTCCTCAGAAGGGCTGACAGGTGCCAACCCTCCCCATCCCTTTGAGATGTGGCTGTACATCCTGCTACTCAGGAGAACCTGTGGGGGGCTGGAGGCCGTGGTGGCCACCTGGGACTTCCTTCCTCGGAGGGCAAAGCACTGACCGGCCCCTGATCCCAAGTATCCCTGGAGCCCCTCCCCTCCTCTTCCTCGGTCTTCCCTCAAAATTCTCGCCCCCCTCTCGCCTTCCCCAGCTCCTGCCACCACTGCCGGCAGCTAATGCTCTGACCAATGTCTGCCTTTGTCTGTCTTTGGTAGCCATCACTGGGAACCATCTGCAGCGGGAGTCCGGCCAAATTCACGAGGCTCAGTAGGCACCGTGGCCTCTCCCGGGAAACCGCTGACAGCCACGCCTGTGAAGTCCAGACCGCACTGCTGGACAAACACAGTGTGTTCCGGCAAAAGCAGACGGGGCCTGAGGAGTGTAACCCAAGCTCCCGGACGGTACCGCGAGCGACCGAAGCGCAGGTCAGCCGGCACTCTTCACCGTAACTGCAGTACCCCGCGTGCACATACTGGCCACGTAAGGAGATGGAAACGTGACGCGTGGCCAAGGACAAAGGCAGTCGGCAGACGTGGACCCAAGACCGCCCAGAAGTTGACGTGAACAGGCAAGGCCGTCAAAGCAGCTGCTAGAAATAGGCTGAATAACTTAAGGACAAGATGGTTGTAGTGAGTTTCTGTGTTTCCTAAAGAGGAGAATCTCATGGAAAAAATGGAAATTATATAAAAAAAAAAAAAACAAAAACCTAGGGGAAAGGTAATTCCAAAAAAGTAAAACATACCAAAAAAAAAAAAAAAAAAGTTAGTAGTGGTGTGCTCACTACTACTATTTGACATCATACTGGAGGCCCTACTTAGTATAATGAAGTAAGAAAAAGGTTGTTAGCAAGCCTGGAAATGAAGAAAGAAAACGGTCTCTATTTGCAAACAATATCTCCATAGAAAATCCTAAGGAATCTACAAAAAAGGGTAGAAGGTCATATAATACATTCAACTGTACATCTATAGTCCAGCAATTAAAACTGGAAATTTAAATTAAAAAACAGCACCATTTTCAACAGCACCAAAAAACAGGATTACTCAGGAATGAGCCCAACAAAATATGTGTTGAAAGGTACAAAAACTAATCAAACAGACCAAGGAAGGCCTCTTTAATGCCAGTATACTGTGTTCATGGACTAAGATGTTGATTTTTCCCACAAGGATCCATAAATACAACTCAGTTCCAACAAGAATTGAGAAATCAACAAACTCACTAGGAAATTCTTTTATTTTATTTTATTTATTTATTTGACAGAGAGAGATCACAAAGCAGGCAGAGAGGCAGGCAGAGAGAGAGGAGGAAGCAGGCTCCCTGCTGAGCAGAGAGCCCGATGCGGGGCTCGATCCCAGGACCCTGAGATCATGACCCGAGCCAAAGGCAGCGGCTTAACCCACTGAGCCACCCAGGCGCCCCTCACTAGGAAATTCTTACTGGAAAGGCAAAGGAACTAGAATGGCCCAAATACTTCTGAAAAAGACAACACAGTTGGAAGACTCACACCACCTGATTTCAAGATTTATTAAAAAGCTGTAGTAATCATGGGGCACCTTCAGCTCAGGTCATGGTACCAGGGTCCTAAGATCCAGCCCCGCGTTGGGCTCTCTGCTCAGCAGGGAGCCTGCTTCCTCCTCTCTCTCTGCCTGCCTCTCTGCCTACTCATGATCTCTGTCTGTCAAATAAATAAATAAAATCTTAAAAAAAAACAAAAACAAAAACAAAAAAGTACAGGGGCTCCTGGAGACATAAGCTAACAGCACAGAAACAAAGCCACGTGTATATGGTCAACTGAGTCTTGATAAAGGCACAAGAGCAGTTCAGCAGAGAAAGGGTAGTTTTATAAACCACAGTTAATTTATTAACACTTTTTTAAATTTTTTTTTAAGATTTTATTTATTTATTTGTCAGAGAGAGAGAGAGAGAGAGAGAGACACAGTGCGAGCGAGCACAGGCAGTCAGAGCGGCAGGCAGAGGCAAAGGGAGAGGCAGGCTTCCTGCCAAGCTAGGAGCCTGATGTGGGACTCGATCCCAGGACACTGGGATCATGACCTGAGCCAAAGGCAGCTGCTTAACCAACTAAGCCACCCAGGTGTCCAGAGAAAGGGTAGTTTTTTAACAAATGATGCAGAAACAATTAACTATCTGAATCCACAAAAATTAAATTGGATCCATTTTTCATTCCAGATACAAAAATTAAATCCGATGGGTCTTATAGATAAATGTAAAATATAAAACTATAAAACTTCTAAAAGAATACATGGGGGAGGGGCGCCTGGGTGGCTCAGTGGGTTGAGGCCTCTGCGTTCGGCTCAGGTCACGATCCCAGGTCATGGGATCAAGCCCCATCGGGCTCTCTGCTCAGCGGGGAGCCTGCTTTCCCCCACCCCCTCTCTGCCTGCCTCTCTGCCTATTTGTGATGTCTCTCTCTCTGTCAAATAGATAAATAAAATCTTTAAAAAAAAAAAAAAACACATGGGGGAAATCCTTGTCATGACGGGTTGGACAAAGATTTTTGATGTAACACCAAAAGTTTAATTTGTACAAGCAAAAATTGATAAGTTGGACCTAATCCAAATTTTAAAATTTGCCTGTTGAAAGACACTGTTAAGAGAAAGAAAAGACATAAACCGGGAGAAAATATTTGCAATCACATCCAACTTCAAAGAACTTCATCCACAATATAAAGGTTAAAAACTCAGTAAGAAAATGACCAAGTAGAGAAATGGACAGATCCGAACGGACACTTGTCCCAAAGGGATG